ATAGGTCAGAAAATCAGGACCATAAGATTTTCATGTCCTTTTCCTTTTGCTACGTCTTGGTTGGTTTGGTAGCCATTTATGAAAATGAAACAAATATTAGTTTCTAATAAACAACTTGTTTATTTCAATAAAATAAAATAAACAATTTATTTACTACCAATGTGAATAGAAACTGTCTTAAGCTTGTAAGAAAACAAGTCGCTAGTAGATGAAACCAATTATATAAGTTTTATTTAAAAAAATACAATAGCCAACTATTGAAATTAATAACCACAAAGCAAACAATTTCAATTTATCAAAAAAAATTTCGTTTCAGAATTTTCCAACGGCTAAAAAAAATGTTTTGCAACATAAAATCAGAAATATAAGTTAACTGCAGGCTAAAACTATAAGCGATGAATCTGGAAGCTGCACACTATGAAACTACAAACTGCATGAATTAAATAGTAATGCAAAAATAATCTACAGAAATAAATGGAAACTGAAACTGCAAGGATAAACTGAATCTGCAAAGAAACTACACGAACTGCAACGAAATAAATCTGCAGAAAGAAAACACAAACTGTAGAAGACTTCAAACCGAGGTCTGTGCGTGCACAGTTTCCTTAAGACAGTTTCGCCCCCTCACCGTAGGTACTGGAGGTTCAGTTCGAGCAGTTATCTCCCAAGATACAACGGTAATAAGCAGAATCCGGGCACCGCGGTCCTACTCCGACGAACTGGACATGACTGGAAGGGAACAGAAACTACACTGTATGGAAATTGGAACTGGAAAAAACGACACTGCGTGGAAAACTGGGAAGAATATTTTCATATGCAGAGAGAAATTTTCATTCGTGTATTGAACTGTTGGAGTGAGCGTCCCTTATATAGACTGAGTCCTGTCCATTGGAGTCACTGGAGTTACGACATTAACCACTGGAGTTTCAGCTTTTCAATTCTAGCAATAAACATTGGGAGTTTCTGCAATTTAGAAACTCAAAAGTCATTGGAGAAAGCCAAAAAAAAAATGGCAAAACGTGGGCTCTCCGATGTGGCCATTTTTGCCTTATTCGGTCCGACATTCGTGTGTGCAGGTCGCGCCCGCACCCAAGTTCAAGGTTAGAAGGCTATTTCGATCCGAGATTTGCACCCCCCTGCGCGCGCACGTGGAGAGAGCTTCTATGCTACATATAATTACACCATTCCAAAGTGTAAGCATATAAAGTGGTTCATGCTTTCTTCATTTTCCTATGTGGGACAAATATCACTTTTCCCACATAAACCATTTTCCAATGGTCAACTTTGAGCTCCAATTTCTCATTCATCCGTTAATCAATTTTGGCAAGTAAATATATGGTTTCGATGCTCTCACGGAGGAGAACACAAATCAACTTTGATCTTCCAAATCAGACCAGCGGGTCTCACTCAAACTTATGCCAAAAGTGACCCATTTACTCATTTTTCCAACAATTTAAACTCCAGCAGCAAGTGGCAGCCAACCTAGCCAATAGTGAATATCCTATTGGAATTTGAGAGTTTGAAAGTGAATGCATGTGTTATGTCATATTACGGTGACTGAAAATCTCTTTTTTATCAACGATCAAAACCCAGATTTTTCCAAATGCCATACTATTAACAAATGATGATAGAAAATTTCCAAAGGCATGCACTTGAAAATCTGGGCTGAGGGAGCAAAACATTCAACATAGCATGTAGCTCAATTATATGCATCAAAAGTGTAGCCAACATGGATAACTACCTTGAAGATTTTTGGACCACTTTTTCATGTTATTCACGGTATAGACCCCAAATAGCCCATTAAAATAGGAATTTGCTACTCAAACAGGGACCTGTGATAGGCCCTGTCCAGCACCTCAGCCCTCGATCTGAGATTTGATTTCAGATCAAGGGCTGAGGTGCTGGACACCTCATCCCTGTCACAGGGGCCTGTCCCATGCCCCTGTTTATGTAGCATCTCTCATTAAAATATGATGCATATGACATCTGTCCAATCTGACAGTAATTGATGTATGCAAAGATATTGCAGGAAGATTGAAAAAAGGAATCTGGAATAGCATAATAAATCCGGAATAGCATAATAAATCCAGCGAAATAAACTTGATGAAGGGAAATGATAAAGATAAGAGTTGATATTCATTCCTCAAGCATGTAATTTGTACAAATGATGATGTTGAAATTTTATCATCTTAAACAAGACAGAATGTGCTAATAACTTAATCCTCAACAGTATTGAAATCCCAGTAGAAAGTGGCAACCAAAAGTTGAAAATGGAAACGTGTAGGCTCCAAGTTACTCGGATGGGGATTTTGAAAGCAGCCTATAGCATTAATAAAGCCTCAAATTTTTCTAAAATCTATTCAGTTTTGTAGTAGTTGGAATACCTATAAACTTGCACCAAGTTTGGCTGAAGAGATGGGGATTAAAAGTTATACCATCTTCGTTTCTTATCTTGGGGTGTTGGCGTGTCGTCATGGTCCCTTTGAATGCGTTCGTAACTCTGGAAGAAGAAGAAGGAGCAATTGTCTTGGCCCAAAAGAGTTAAGAAGAGCAACTGTTCATGGATTGAAATTCAGAAGCTACGAAATTGTGAAGCCCAAAATATAATCTGTGGCCCATTGATTGTTTATGAATCTTGAAGTGGAATGACTTGCAGTGGCCCAATAAAAATCTATGTAAATACTAAAAGGGTCCAAGGAAAATAAATCCCAATCAATAGCAAAACCCAAAAGAAATCTTTCCAGCTTGTCAAACCAAGCCTATAAAAAGGCCCAAGTAGCTGCTGACCCGTCCCAGCCTTTGTTCATGTCCGTCCAGCTGTAGAAAAAGGACGATTTGCTGCAAAAGGCTACAGCATTGCGAGAAAAAGTCCGCAATAGACAACCAATATTGGTTTGCCACTCATGCTACCATCAAGTCTTATTCCCATAACCATAATGTCGACACACTGGACAAATGAGGCCATGTACCGCAGGTCTAGAAAAATGTTCGGCGATCGTTTTCATTTCGACAATCATGTCAATGGCCGAACGAAAGAAAAATGAGTACAAGAGACGAGAGGGAAATTTGGCTAGAATTAGAATAACATATCTTTGATTGTGAATGAAACTTACATATACTAGGAAAATGTAAATAGACCAAGTGTGCATGATGGGTTGAGCTCCATGCCCAATGTGATATTAATTGATTAAATAGGTCAATCAAATTTCAAGATGCTATTATTTAATTAAATAGATTCAATCAATTGAATACTCGATGCCATGTAATTTATAGGTGTTCATGGTCCAATGACATACCAATTCACCAACTGCCATCCGTTACGCTAATTGTCAACTAAAATTATTGAGGGATGAGTATAACAAATAGCGAATTATAACCAATTAGATATCTACTCCGAAATCAATCCAAACATGCTATTACATATAAAATTATCTTACGAATATAAACCAAGGACTACCACAACATGTAAATGATAATTCAAGAAAGCAATGCAAAATAACTTGAAGACTAGACTATAATCCGAATATAAGCCTGTAACAATTTCACAATTTCTTTAAGAAAAAGTATTGAACTAAGGTAATTCAATTCCACATATAACCACAAATTTGAAAAGACGTGGAAAATCCATTAATAGCAATGAACATCACTAAAGTTGTTAAATAATAAATCTTGAATTCTGAATTTAGAATCGACGCATAGAAATTGAAATCCAGGAGTAGATCCTCAAAACTTTGATCTTTTTCATTTTCATTGATTTTATTTGAATGGAATTCCTAGTTTTAAAGATTTATTATTGACGAGTTATAGTAATTGCACATATTAAAGCAATTAAAAGAATTATTTTATTAATTTCTCTTCTCTCTCTTTTTTTTTTTCTTTTTTCTTTTTCCTTTTTTCTCTTTTATTTTTTATTTTTTTATTTTTTGAGTGTCTTCTTTGTTATTAAAATAATAATGGACAGAATATGCCAATTGCCAAGAGTGTGCCACGATTGAAGAGATAAAGGCTGCTACTCTAAAGTTAAAACTTTATGGTTGAATCATTTGCAAAGCTGTAGACTTTTGAAGTGGACACTTTGTTGGTGTATTTTTTCCTTCGAAATTGTTATTGTAAATTATAAGAATCGCATGTGGCGACACTTGGAATATTTAAAAACAAACTTAAATTAATTTAATTAGGATTAGGACTTTACCATAAATCAATTAATTATTCAAGGAAAACCCAATTGTTATTAATATCAAATACTTATTTATTCCATAATACACAAATGACATCGGTCGAAACGTGCACGTGTTTCCTTTTTACATGTCTAGGTATAATTCTTGGCGAAACCTTACTAACCAAAGGAAAGTAATTCCTTAAAAATTCATTTAATCTTGATTTTCTTTGATCAGCTCTAACTTAGTACGAGCTTATTCAAATTATTTTTTTTTTCTCGGAGTTCATTACGCACCATTTAACATGAATTCCAAAATGAGCCCGACATTATTAAGGTAACTCTCTCTCTCTCCTCCAAGAATTACACATTCAACAAAAATAAATAAAAATATGAAATTTATACTTACTTTCATTATTAATTTTTTTAGAATTTGCTTAATTACCCAATACTCTATTTTTTGCAAGTAACAATCTCATTCATATTATTATTTTCTCAACTAATTGAATAGTTTTCTAGTAATATGCTACAAGACCAAAAACTTCTCAAGTTATCATACATATTGCTTATCAAACTCGGTCGACCACCCTAGTTAGGAGGTTATATTAATATCAATGTAATGCTATTTAGTGTCACTGATTTTGATAATTAAATGTGATTAAGTGATAAATTCATTCATACGTAAGGTCACGGGATCTATTCAATTGAAACTATTGAGTATGATCATCTAGAATGATATTCTCGACTAGTACAACTGTGCTAGTATGCTACAAAGTGTTATTGTTAATACTAACTTATGAGAGGGCATTTTAGTCAAATACCCAAGTATAAACGAGAATCTGCAGCCACGAAAATTAGAAAAACGTGATGCTCCATTGATGCGTGTGTGTGTGAGAGGGAAACCATGGTAGGTGTTGGATACAGCTGCAGCTGCTTGTACTTCTCTTCGCATTCCACTGTTTTGCGATCCTCTTCAACAAATGTGAAGAACGCAATATCTGCAGGCAATCCCATCTGGGCCTCAACCAGTTCCTTCAAATTCAAACAAATTTCTTGCAAACTTCCCGAGAGTGAAACTGAAGCAAATGAAGGGATCTCAACCAGCACGAAAATGGAAGATTATAACGTAGCAATGAAGAGAATGATGAGGAACCCATACGAGTATCATCACGATCTTGGTTAGTTTTCTTCTGCTGTTCAATAATTTCTTGAACGAACTTCTTGTAGTTGTTGGATTATATTTAATTATGACACCCTTTTAGATTAGAAATCCTTTTAGATTAGAAATTAGACAGGCGATTCTGGAAACTTCTGTATTTAAGAATATGGTCGCCGCTGTTCCATTAAGCTCAGTCGTCAATTTATATGCTTTGTTGAGTTGAAATTCCAGCAAATGAAAATTCATTCAGCAACTTTGGATTTAAAGGTCGCATTGTTATCTTAGGGGGTGTATTTAATTGGGCAGAAAGACTTGTATAGACTTTTTTAAATGGGTGACTTTTGTGAATGACTTTTTTAAGTGACTTCTAAGGATTTGTTAAGAATTAATAAGTCTTCCATGGACTTCTATAGACTTTATTAAAGATTCTTAAAGACTTTTTACATCTTACAAATTATTATATACCTGAAAAATTAAAATCTTTCTTGCTACCTAGTTAATATTTTCGAGAACTATGATACCCACAATTAAAAGAACAAAAAAAAAATTTCGTATTAAAAAAATAAAATAAAAATCAATTACATGGAATTTACGTTTTGAATCAATTGCATACAATTTCAATTCAAAAGTAATTATGTACATATTGAATAATCATAAATTGATTATAGTAAATGAATTAAAGAGATGAGAAAATCCTAGAATTGAAAGAAAAATGACGTTCTTTTTCTGAAATCTTCACAAATCTTGGAGTATATGAGAGATTTTTTATTGAGATTTGCTATCTATATTTTTCACCAAAAAGTTTACAGAATTCCAATAAGTAGAGAATTCTCCAAAAGTTACTATCTATTTGAATACCATGAGTTATAGGGACTTCTAAAAAGTTTAAATTGAATACCCCGTGACTTTTAAAGACTTTTTAAAAGTTTATGAGCCTGTTTAGGAGTGATTTTGATAATTGATTTTTTGACCGTTAGGAGAAAAGTGGGGTCCACTTGTGAGAGAAGAAGTCAAATATGATGGCTGGAATAGTAAAATAACGGTCAAAAAATCAATTTTTTGGGTGAAAAAATCGAGCCCAAACAGCCCCTATAGAATTCACAATTGAAATACACCCAAACTTTTAGATAGTCTTTAAAAGTCTTAATTGACTACACCTAAACTTTTTAAATCCTCAAAAGTTTTTAAAAGTTCCAAATGTATACACCCACCTAAGTTGCTTGTATATGAGAGCTTAGTACTGTATTATGTCGAGGTCATGATAAGTAATCTGATAAAGAATATTCCTCTGCTTCAGGAATGAACTATACATTGATAACTGAAAATCTTATTGTTGGCTCCCAACCTCAGAAAGTTGGAGACATAAATCATCTGAAAGAGGACCAGAATGTCAGGTATATTCTCAACTTGCAGCAGGACAGAGATGTAGAATATTGGGGAATCGACCTACCATCTATAATAGACCGATGCAAGGAGCTCAGAATCCATCACATGAGAAGACCTGTAAGCTAATCTCCTTTTGTTGCAATGTCTTTTAAAGTGTGTTACACCAAGCATTTTAGTTCAACTGCTCCCTATGATACGCATTGATATTTTATCAACTCTTTCCAAATTACAAAAACTAATATTGAGTTTACATTTCAAAAAAATTTTTTTTTTTTTTTTTTTTTTTTTTTTTTTTTTGTAAAAAAAAGCGCAAAATGAAACAGCTTACATATAAAATTACATATTTGTATATCATATATGTTAATGGCATAGATTATGGCAGATATTATGTTACTATATTTAGTGTGTGTGTGTGTGTGTGTGTGTGTGGTTAAGTTTGCTATATATGGGTTAAGAACATTAGATAGATGGTCGTAATCACTAGAAATTAGCCATGATTTGTATAGTATTTTCTATTTAATGGAAATAATCCTCACGAAGAGGTCATTTGGTCAACTATTTCTAGGTATCAAAGCTTACCTCTAGAATTCATTGCGAAACCTTCAATTTTCTTTTCGTTTTGCTTATGATTTTCATGTATCGAAGCTTTCTAGTTTGTTTTCGTTTTGAGATCCTAGGTTGATCGAGTTTTAGTCAACGACTTCATCAATGGGTTCAAAACTGCATCGTTTGTGTGACATTGGGAAGAGTAAAGGTTGCGAATAGATTCATTTGGTTGTAGGTCATCTTCGATTGCTGGGAAGGAGCATGAGCCTGTTGGGTCATTTTCGATGTATTAGACAGAGCTTCGAAATCTCTCATTATGGATGCTCCTCTGTCTGCTATAATTGGGCTTTTCCTTTTATTGTCAGCTTTAGGTTAATTGGGTCTTTTCTTTTGTTGTGGGCTTTCTTTCTTAAGGTTGCATTTTTTGTCCTTTATTTTGGAAAAAGTGTTCACCAAGACCTTTTTTTTTTTTTTTTTAATTTACGGGAAAAATTATGCGGCATGGGAATTTCAATTTAAAATGTTTCTGAAAGGGAGGAGTTTTAGGGTCACATTGAGGGTTTTTTTTTTTTCCATCCTTGAAGAGGGCAATAAACTTGGCCATTAAGTGAGGAAGGATACTGGAATCATTTCTCAGACTCTAGGTCTATTGAAGCTCATATGGTGAACAACTTACTTCCCTTTGGTACAGCTAAGGAGATAACAACTTACTCTCCTTTGGAACAGCTAAAGAGATGTAAAGTATCTAAAGTTCATGTACTATCAAGAATATACTGCAAGACGATTTCAATTGGAGCTCAAGATTGACAACTAAAGTAAAGTTAATCTCACCATTAAACAGCATTATTCTGGTTTTTTTTATTGTAGAGTGAGTATTCTAGTATTATTCGCACTAAGATACCCAAGCGGCCCTAACTGCCCTTCAGGCAATTCATGATGTAAGTAGGCATGATTCGTTTCTAATGAAACTGAAACTTGAATTTGAAGTTACTTGGGCTGGACTATTGAATAGAGACTCTGTTCGTTCTTTGGATTTTCATAGCTACACAAGCAGTTATGGTCCTGCCTAGGGAGATATCTGAGGTGGTCAATGTTGCATATATTGCTCATGGGAAAAACCAAAGAAAGGGACAAATGTAGTGCTACAGGTGCGACTTTGGCGTATTGCCCTAATTACAGTAAGAAATTTTGAAATTATTGTTAGTAGAATAGACACATTATCAAGGAATGTTATGTCCCGAAAATCAACAAGTCCAAGCGTTTCAAGCTGGTATTCCAGGCCCTAACATAATGTGTCCTCCGTCTAAGGCTGCATGGCACTAATCAACTAGTCCTTACCCTAAAAATGATGCAACATTAGCATTTTATGCCTTTTGACTACACGGTCAAGGAAAGACGGTTTCTCCTCCTTAATTTGTTGATTCTGGCGCTTTCAATCATATGGCTGGCTCTCCTAATTCGTTGTACATTCTTTGGAAGTATACTGGTACGCAATATTCATATTGCTAATGGAAGTATCTTCCAATTATAGCCATTGGTGATATTGAGTCTTCCTTTAGTCATGTGTTTCTCTCTCTAGGGTTGTCTACTAGATTGATTTCCATCGGTCAGTTCGTGGATAATAAATGTAATGTGCATATCTCTCATGTGGTTATCTGTGCAAGATTAGGGGCTAGGAAGGTAATCGCAAGGGCCTAAAATGAGAAGCTTGTTTCTTTACAATTTAACATTCCTCGTACTTTGTATTTGGCTTGTATTACTATTGCAAATAAGACTGAAGTTTGGCATAAACTATCAGGTTATCCAAATAATGTGATTTCTACTCATGGATTGCCTTTTAATTGCACCACTTGTAAACAAAGGAAAAAGCAAACTCTATCTTCAGTGTTCTACTTATGGATTGCCTTTTGATTGCTCTTGTGAAATAGGGAAAAGTAAACTCTACCTTTCCCTACTTATGGTGGTCGTGCTAATACATGTTTTGTGATTATCCATAGTGAAGTTTGGGGTATTATTCATGTTATTTCCCATGCACATTATTTGTGATATTCATTGATGATTATAATCATTTTACTTGGATATACTTTCTATGCCCTAAAGTTGAGGTGTTCACCATTTTTCAGACCTTTATGGCTTATATTTTGGGATACATTTTTCTGCATGTATTACAGTTTTATGGTCTAATAATTGCGGAGAATATATGTCACATGACTAAAAAGATTTTTTGCAACAGAATGGTATTGTATCTCAACAATACTGTCCCATACTTTTCAACAAAATGGTTGGCTGAACGTAAAAACAAGTGATTCGAACGTTACTCTTGGAGTCTTTAGCGGAAGCTTTGTCCATCTCTGTGTATTTTATTTATTGTTTGTCTTCTCAACAGTTGAATTTCGATTCTCCTTACATCATCTTTAGGGTATGCCTCCTGATTATCATACAATGTACACATTTGGATGTGTTTGTTTTGTCACTTGCCTCCTCATGAATGCCACGAGATTACATCTTAATCAATTCAGTTTGCTTTCACAGGGTTATAGCATTGCTCATAAGGGGTTTGTGTATTTTGATATTGTCGTCAATCGTCTAGGAATGTAATTTTCTTTGAACATTAATACTACTTTCAGCAATATATTGCGCCTTCTGATTGTATCCTCCTTCCTAGAGTTTAGGACATCTCTCCATCTATTGAGTGTTTTAAATCAGGTGTTGTCCATCGACGACAACGGTCTCTTGTCATCACAACTTCTTCCCAAGCCAAATTCAATGCCTGTTTCCGTGGTTCCTCAGCGATCCTTTCACACTATTCACCCTCCTAAGAGGTATGGTTTCTCTGCGACTTAAGTCGATATCACGGTTCTTACCTCTTATTTTCAGATAACTTAATAGGCATGTTGGGAGAAGGCCATGCAAGAAGAATTTCAAGCTCTTCAGGAGAATCATAACTGGAATTTTGTTCCCTATTCTCCTGATGTTAAGCCCATTAGCTATAAATAGGTATATATCATTATGCTATGATCTAATGGCTCACTTTACTCAATTATCCACGGGAATATAAGGATAGATTATGAGAAGATAATTGCTCCTATAACAAAGATGATAGCACGGCTTGTTCTAGCTATTGCTGCTTCAAATTGCTGGTTTTTTAGGCAAATAGATTTTAGGTACACCTTTCCACTTGAAAATCTCAAGGATGAGATTTATATGACCCCAATATCTGGATTGTTTTCTCTACCCTCTTTAGATGTTTGTAAGCTGAAGTGGTCTCTCTACGATTTTGAAATAGGGTCCACGTGCTTAGTTTGATAAGTTCCGACTAAGTTCCTTTAAGTTCTCCTATGTCCAAAGTCAGTACAATTCTTCTCTATTTTTTTTCAAAACTGCTAGTGGAATCGTATTAATTCTAGTATGTGTTGATAATGTTATTATTTATACGGATCGACTCTGGATTCATTTCCCAGCTTTATGAATGCATTTAGGTTCCTTTCATATGAAAGACTTGGTCCTTTAAAATATTTCTTAGGCTTGAGGTGCACTCTACCTTGGCTGGTACTTGCTTCTATAATCATAAGTACACCCATGAGTTAATTACTTTGACTGGCTTCAAGATGGTCGTTCTATGAATACTCCCTTGGAAGTGAATGTTAAGTATGATAGGGATAAGGGCTATTTTTACTCTGATCTCTTTTTATATACACGGTGGGGAGCTCGAGCTAACTAGTACTCGGCCTTATATTTCCTTTGTTGTTCAATAAGTTAGTCGGTTTATACGGGGCTCCTAGGCATCTTCATCTGGAAGCTGTCCGTAACATTGTTCATCATTTTCATTGTACTTCTACCCTTTAGCCTTTTGTTTCATGTCTAGTCATTTGATGTCCTATAGTGATGCTGATTGTTCTGATGTTCGACGTTCGATTACTAGTTGGTGCATGTTTCTTGATAACTGCCTCATTTCTTAAAAAATTAAGAAGCAATCGTGTGTCTAAGTCTTCCACTGAGTTTGAGTATCGCGCTATGTCCTTCGCCTATCAAAGATTGTTGGCTACGAGGATTGTTGGCTGCGCTTAGGTTTCATCAAATTGAGCCTACTCTGCGCTGTGCGAATAATATTAGTGCCATTTAGATTGTTGTTAATCCAGTATTTGATAATGAGTACACCAAGCACATTGAGTTGGATGATCACGTCGTCGTTCTTTTGCGTATCAGCAATGATCTTGAAACTGTTGATGTGTTTACTAAGGCTCTCTCATTATAGACATCAATTTCTTGTTGACAAATTGATGCTTCTAATCACCCAGAATCAATTTAAGTGGGAACTCAATGACAGAGATTAGGTTACTATATTTAGTATATATATGTAATTGAGTTTCCTATATACGGTGTAATTATTCTTACATTCGATAGACTAACACAATAACTTTAATCATTAGAAATTGACTGTAATTTTGTATTTCTATCTCATGGAAAGAATCCTCATGGAGAGGTCATTGAGCTAAATATTGTCAATATATGCCGACAAACAGAGAAAAGTTTGTTGGATCCTAACTTTCATACTTTTAGGAGCAATTTTGTTTCCCACCAACTGCTCTTTTATCAATAATTTATTGTGGTCATATAACTTTGCAGTTGTTATCTTTCTATTTACAGGCAAGAGATTTTGATCCAGATTCCTTAAGAAGTGGATTACCAAAAGCTGTTTCCTCACTCGAATGGGCAATTTCAGAAGGCAATGGACGAGTATATGTTCATTGTACTGCTGGTCTGGGAAGGGCACCAGCTGTTGCAATTGCTTACATGTACTGGTTCTGCAATATGGACGTAAGTGACTGTTCAGTGTTTCATTTGTTGAAATCATTCGAAATGATATTGTGCGCTGCAATTATTAAGAAACAACGGAATTTAGCTAAAGACCTTAAAACTGTACGCAACTCGTGTGCTCTCGAAAGAAAATTCGTGCTCTTTGAAATACTTGTCCATGTGCCTTCTTAGCAGCTTAACATGGCATATGATACACTCACTTCAAAGAGACCTTGTGGTCCTAACAAGAGCGCGATTCGTGGAGCCACTTATGATTTGACTAAAAATGACCCCGGGAAGGAACCTTTTGAGAGTTTACCAGAATATGCTTTTGAGGATGTAGCAGACTGGGAAAGAAAACTTATTCAAGATCGTGTCCGCGCCCTTCGTGGAACTTGAGAACACTGGTAAGAGTCAAATCTTAAAACACTTGAATGCATTCTCGCTTAGGCTCCTTCCATGAAAACAATATTGTGTTTTCTTTTTTTCCTTATAGTAACATATTAACAAGACCGATTGAAAAGCATAGTAACAGGGAATGAGATACTACAGTTTTTGCTTGTTTAATATATAGTATTTGTTTTGATTATACTTTGTAACGAACATTATTTTAGCTTATTTTTTTCTTTTAATTCAAGATTTTAGGTTTTTCTTTTTTCTTTTTATTTTTTTTCCATGCTCAAGGAGTTAAGGCTTACATTGGTTTAATGTGTACAAGGTAAAAATATATATCCAACACTCAAATAATGATTGAATAGCAGTGACGATGCATCTTTGAGTTACTGATCTAGGTGTAACTATTAATGTTTGTTTTGCATTTACCCTTATCTTCACAGTCATTTCGTTGTGTGTTGAAAGATTCTATTTGTGCACTTTTCATGCTCAGGTATAGATCTGGCGAGCAATAAAGTGTTTTGTGGAGTTGGATGCTAATCGGTGATATTGATATATTTCAAATTCTAGGAGCAGGTGATCCGAAGAAAATGTTATGTAGAATATGATACCTCCAAGTCTTCGGCATTAATAAAGCATACATATTTAAGAGCTGCTCTCTCACTGTCTGGTGTTAGTACTTGACATGTACACCCTCTTCCAGATCCATCACAAGGAAAACAAAAACCAAGATTAGAAAGGCAAGGTTGGGTAAGAAAGAGAGGTGAGGTGACTAGCTTAGTAAATTTATTCAATATCCACAATAAAACCTTGTAAGCATATTCTGGTGGCCCAGTGCAGCAGAATAGAATGATATCTCCTCTGAGCTCTAATAAAGACTAATTTAGCATCCAGAAATATTGTTTCTTCTAACGTATAGTGCTATTGTCAATTTAGCACTCTTGCTCGATCATTTTTTTCAGTAGTATATTGTCCATTTTTATACGAGATTAAGATCTTTCAAATGATACTTCTTAAAGCAACTTGGTGCTTTTCAAATACATCACAAATTAAATAAATTGCATGAAAATGTAATATTATCATCCCAATTCCAAGAATTTACATAGTTTCTTTATGATTTCTTTACATACTACCCTCAAGTCTCTCCCTTCTGAGTCGCTCAAGTTCCTTCACCATTTGCCAATGTTCCATTGTCAAACAGGTTTCACCAAAACTAGTGGATATTAGGCGGCCCATGGTCAGCCATCTGCAAGATTTTATAAATTAGTGAATGAATATGTATACTAGAAACCAGATTACCAAAATTCATGTCTTCAAACCTGCTAAGATCTTGGCTGCCTAAGCTTCGGTCAGCTTGCCTTGCCGCTACTAAATCATCTTCTACCACCTGCAACATGTGTCGATGTGACTTCTGGTAGAAGTATTGTGTATGAAATACAGCAAAAAATCTGATCTGATGTAAATAAGAGAAGCCCTTCTTCCATATGAAGTTGTGCTTTTAGTGTAATAACAAAACATGGAGCTAGCTTAATTCATACCTTCTGCATATCTGACTCAATAGAATGAGGAAGTGATTGCATGGTAGCCAAGTACCATCTCCAAGTTTTCAGCGTTTCTGCATCCACTGCTGAAGGTGAATCTGCTGAGGACGGTCGAAATGGGAGAACTAGATCAGCAGGCAGAAGGTTTGATTTCCCCTCAGAAAGGATCAACAGTTGAACGTCTGCAGCCATCTCCATTTTATAGTATTTAAAGTCATATTCCACCTAAGAATAAGAAAAAAGGGTGGTAGAAACAATCAGCAACAAGCCTGTTTATGGATTACAGACATTAGATCCCCTGAATTCCAATCCATCAAGCACCAGAATATGAATAACATTTTTTCCAGATTATATCCGAGTAAAATTTTGGAGCACTTCTTTATTCTAATTTTGGAAAACAAGGAATAATCTTATAGATGACCAGATGGTGCCCCAGTCCCATTATAAACGAAATAATGTTTTCCTCGTATTGCTTTTATAAAATGTACCTTTTGTGACTCCATCAAGCTTTTTAACACTCTTGCATTTTCAACGCCTGTTGAGTTGAGGGTCCCAGCTTGCAATTCAGTTTCATCCATAGTTAAGTGAGAACCCTCAGCTAGCTGCAGAACGCCAGATACCAGCCTGTAGAATGGATGATGTAAATAAAGAGAATGATTCCGTGGTTGCGAAACTAAAATTTGTAATAACCTGTTTGTATTGTAATCCTTTTTTGGGGAAAGTGAAACGGTATTGAGATGTTCTATCGTGAGAGGCAAATAATGTGTGAAAGGTAGAAGGTCCTCTATTGCAAGTCTAAGACGACTGCCAAAAACGGATGTGCTTTCCTTGTTCAAGCAAGTCAGATTTAGTGACAGCTTCCCAACAGCAATTGTATCAACCCTGGCATGCACCTGCACAGGGATGTAGTCATTTGTTCAGAAAAAAGTTCCAGTGTCCAGAGGGAGTAAAAGTCTTCAACTTCTGACGCAAACATCCGCAAGAAACTCACATTTTAAGAAAACCAAAATCTTGTACAATGGTTCGTACAGATAACAGTTGCTTAGTTGTGCAACTAGATGAACTTGGTATACTTACCCTGGATAATAGGTGCAATAACATGTATTGAGCTGTCACCCTGTCATTTCCAAGAACAGCAGTAAGATGTCCAAGCAGAGCTTCCCTAAGTTCTTTTACTGCATTTGATTTTAACTGTGATCATAACAAGAAAATTAGCTCTCAAAGGGGCTATCAAAATAAACAGACAGAGGAATTAGGTGAGGGTTTACTATTAAGCAGATCAACTGATAGAGGCATAGATCAAGTTCAAGTAAATGGAGCTTACCTCAAATGTAGGACAAACTGAAAGAAAATCACTAATTGCAAGCTTCCTGTTTACAAGACAGTGAAGCCGAGGTACCTGCAATAAAACGTGTTATCCTATCTATCTTTGCGGACTGGAGAGAACTTTCTCCATAAAAACAAAACTCACACAACTATTAGTTTAGTTACAGAAAGTCCAAAAGTATAACAGCACCATAACTCCAGAAGCATAAAAAATTGTGTGTGAACGGGGGTATTAAATTTATTGTTGTTAGAATCCTGATTCGGATCATAAGATGCTACAATGTTACAATCCGAAAGCACTAACCAATGCTGGTCTTACGAATTATCCCAACTTTTAAGTTTTTGTCTAAAACTGGTCAAAATTATGAGTCACGACTCATAGTTAACTGTTGGTCTACTGAAGTTGGCTTCGGCCAAAAATATTGTAATCATTTTGGTTTTGTAGATACAAAAATTCAAAGGATCAGAATGAATGCAATTAGCCAAAGAGACATAACTGATTAAACAGAAAAATCTGATTACATAACTCAGAAGTTCAAGCAATGTATATTAGATTGTCTGACCTGAAAGTGAAGAAACCGAAATATAAGTTATTGCAGCAAGTCTACAATTTTTTAAACTCAACAACACTTTGACATCATAAATTGAAAAGCTCCAAATGGCAAAAAAAAAATTAAAATAAAAATTAAAATAATTAAAAATAAAAATAAAAATTAATATATATATATATATATATATATATATATATATCTCGAAAAATTAAACATGGCAATAAAAAATAACATCTAGAGATAAATAAAGACCTTGCTAGGAGGCATATGATTTAACACATCTTCACCAAAACTATGCGCTAATTCATCGCTATCATCTTTTTCTACAGTAAGATCTGGATCAAATGTGAAGATGCCAACAAATTCAAAAACATCATTCAGCTTCAAGTCGGTCTCTGGAAAATCATATATCTACAGAATTCAAAGTTCAAGATCAAAATGGTTTGGTGTTAGATAATATTTAATTAACATACTCTTTCATGCAACTTGAACTGGAAACTGAATTCACCTTCACCAGACAGGGAAAAGACTTTCTTTCACTGTCAACCACAAAACTTGCATTTGAAGAAGTTTCCTCAGTTGCAGTCTTCAGTGAATTCAAAAGCTGAAAATCCATATCATCCTCCCTCTAAGAGACAAAAGTTGAAATCCATTAGACATCCTACTGAAAAATGAAAATTATTGGACAGTTTACTGCATCAAGAAGCTGTGGAGGAATTTATTACAGAGGCATAAATCTAAGAATGATCAAGCAAGGCCAATAGACAGCTTTTCTATTTACCATTTTTTTAGCACTTGGAGAAGCCTGAAGCTCATGACACGAATCCTGTCATTATACGAGATTTGTCAAATTTTAGAATGTGAAAATTATGTAACTCCAACTAAATAGACACAAAAGACACAACCGTAGCAGGAAAACATAGTAGAGACTACATTGGAAACATGTATATTATCTTGCAAGTAAATATCAGCAATGACTTTTGTACTAAGTTATATGGCAAAGTTCTATAGTTCCATTCCTCAGTATAAATGAGCAGACAAAACGGATAGAATTAGGGCCCTTGCATTTCATCCAGGTAAATAGTAAATTTCAGTGCCCTTGTCTGCTGATAGTTATAAAAATACAAGTACATTGAGACAACTAGGTAAAGAGGGGGGCATACTTGCATATCAACATCAGTCATAGTTGCATCGTCCTCCCTCTGCCGTTTCTCCCTTTGTGGAGATAAAGAGTTAGCATATGGATTTTTCACAGCTTCAGGAGAAATCTCGGCCCATGAATTCTGTCCTGGGACCTATAACAAAAGGCAATCAAATTGTGTAAGGATTTAATTAACCATCAAACTTAAAAACTATCAACCATGGCGATACAAATTTGGTGGACTCAAGTAAGATATGGAAACACTCCATATGGGACAACTCACAGGAACACAATAAAGCAAACGACGCTCCCATATCCGCATATCCCTCAGTGTAAATGAGCAGACAAAACGGATAGAATTAGGGCCCTTGCATTTCATCCAGGTAAATAGTAAATTTCAGTGCCCTTGTCTGCTGATAGTTATAAAAATACAAGTACATTGAGACAACTAGGTAAAGAGGGGGGCATACTTGCATATCAACATCAGTCATAGTTGCATCATCCTCCCTCTGCCGTTTCTCCCTTTGTGGAGATAAAGAGTTAGCATATGGATTTTTCACAGCTTCAGGAGAAATCTCGGCCCATGAATTCTGTCCTGGGACCTATAACAAAAGGCAATCAAATTGTGTAAGGATTTAATTAACCATCAAACTTAAAAACTATCAACCATGGCGATACAAATTTGGTGGACTCAAGTAAGATATGGAAACACTCCATATGGGACAACTCACAGGAACACAATAAAGCAAACGACGCTCCCATATCCGCATATCAGATGAAGGAGCTATAGGAAATTGTGAAGTGTCCGTGAATTTATTGGTTCGCCAAGTATCCCCATCCTGTATCAAAGAAAGATGAGGCCAAATATCATCTCTAGTTCTTGTATCCCAAAACAATGAGAAACATGAAAATAGTTATTCAAAAAGGCAGTTATGCAAGAGAGTGGAAGGAGACCTAATACCTTGTAAGCACCAACATAAAATTCATTACCCAGCATGTCTTGGATCATACCCCGGAACCGAACCAAAGTATTAGGCTGAACCCATTTAAAAGTCGAGGGATTAAGCATCGGCACCTAATTATCATCAAATCATACAATAAAGATCAGATATTTCAGTCCGATAAAATGAATCCTAACATGACCGACCCAGCGAAGCAGAAAAAACTATACAAACATACCAAATTAATTGAAGCCATATTGATTAAGTCATATTTTTAAACTAGCCAAGTCCGCACTATGTCAAATAAAATCGCTTGAGGCAAATTGTACACCTAATGCACAAATCTAACGGCCAAAATCAATACATCGGAGCAATCTTGTCAGAAAAAAGGTA